GTATCAACTACAAATGTGCAATATAGTGACCCTAATAAGTGCGGATGTGTATGAGCGTATGACGAATTACACATCTAAAGGGATGCCAACCGCATGGCAGCTCGCGTAAGTCGCCACCTTCCTTAATCACTTGCTGTACTCAAACAGCCAATCACCTGCGCACATAACGAGCACAAATATTAGCACCTGATTGGCAGACCGCCATCAAATAGGGGCAGTTCGGTTGTGGCCAAGAATGCGAAAAAGTAAAAAAGCGCAAACCTGATGGAGAAAATGCTTATACTATTACATCTACGCGGTGGTTCTTAAAGGCAAACCGGAAGCGTAAATGTATAGTAATGAAAGAAAACTCCTTTTTTTCCTACCCGGCCAAGAAATTTAATAAAGGGGCGCTAGTTTTAAGACCAATCAACGTTCCACTAACTTTATTGAATATATTAATGAGGCGGGCTCTCTAAATAAAAGACAAAGTTAAAATTTTCGTTCGTATTGCAGGAACTTACTACAGGCATGAATTTAAAAAAATACCTGATAAACAGGTCCTTAGAAGTCGGCAAAAAGCAGCAGTGGCTGCAAGAATGGTGTTTTGTTCGATGGTTTGTTAACTATCACATCAGTGTTAAGTCTATCGCTGACAGGAATGTCACAAACATCAAGACCCAAATGATCACTACCCAGGACGAACGCATCAAGAACAGAGCAAGCACTCCAGTTACTTTCAGAATTTCTTGGCTCTGCAGGCTAAGCAAATCTAGAAGGTAATGGCGTCGGCAAAATCTCTAAAAAAACACAGCCATCCATGTGGATACTGTTTTGTCTAGGAAATGGAACATGAATTCTCAGCGCTTTCCAGGGTGTATATCCATGTCGAGTCAATAGCTTGGTACACAATAAAAAAAATTTGTTGTTGCCTTCAACCCTCACATGTTAAATAGAATTTCATCCTGAGATTGTGGTGGTCTGGGTACACCCATTTTGTTAGCTATCACAGCAGCCCCGGTTCTGTCTTTCTTACGTCTAATGCTATCTTTGCTCAAAGGTATGTAAATGTGGAAATAGGAAGGAAGGATGAGTAGGAAGGCTGTTCGATGGCCGAACTAATTGCTTAACTAATCTGAGCTTAAAAAGTCTTACTGTAGACCATCGTTAGAGATAAAGGCGATCGAGCGGCTTTCTTATTCCATCAACTGAAATTCGCACATACGCCTCAGTTCAAGATGTAAATGTGTCAAAGATGTGGCCACTGACTTAACGGAGGTTCTTCGCTTTGCGCTAGAACAAGAATTTCATTGGTCTGACGTTTCGGATTCTCACTTGAACCCATTGTGAGAGTCAATCGCTGAAAAGGGCAATAGAGACAACAAGCAGTTCCATATTCGTTGCCGAGACCTTGCCTGAGCAAAGGGATCAGTCACGTGGGCAGGGGGCGAGCTGCGAACCATCTTGATGACAGTGAGCCAAAATGGCGCGTAATAAGCATGTCAACATCCAGCACGGATGATGAAGTCGCGGCAGTTAATGGCTCGGACGCGGGCTGTGCAGCCTTTATCGCATCAATTACGAGCC